TTATTTTTGAGAGAGACAGTGCAAGCAGGGAAGGGGCAGAGAGAGAGAGACACAGAATCCGAAGCAGGTTCCAGGCTCTGAGCTGTCAGCACAGAGCCCCACGCGGGGCTCGAACCCACAAACCGTAAGATCATGACCTGAGCCGAAGTCACACACTTAACCGACTGAGCCACCCAGGGCCCTCAAGATTAAACTTTAAAAGAGAGAGAAAATCAAGCCGAGGGTGACACCAAAAGAAAAAAGTTCGATTTGACCCATCCACAAGGCAGTGGACAGGATATTAAATTAGAAATCAGAAAGCCCGAATTCTGTTCTCATTCTGGTTTTTGAACTCTAAGCTAAAACAAATTATTTAGCTGATGGCTGTCATTCCAGAAACCAGGTTTGAGTCATGAAGTGAATATTTGGAGCCTGGATCTTCAGTGTCAAAGTGGAACTTGGAAATAGTTTTGATAACAACTATGGAAGGATGTCAATTCAGGGGAGGTTTTTGTTTTGTTTTTTTTTTTTAATCCTCTTAACTGTCCAAAAATGGTGAGACTCACTCTCTCCCAACCACTCTGACTGAAACCTTTAACAGGTAAGGCCGTTCCTAATCCTGGATCCCCAGGGAGGAAATGGCCTCGCACTATACTGTGACATCACTGGCTGAGCACTTCAGTTTCCTTATCAAATATAGACAATATGTTTTATCTGTAGGGTAATTGGAAAGACAAATGAGATAATATACATCGAGTGTTCAATTCAGACAGAAATTGGGATGTAAAAGTAAGTCATAATGAAACAGAACAAATACTTTCTCATCCCATTGACTTTATGATACTGCAGGAAACATTGTATCATACATGCTTTGTTGTATGAGATCTGTACTTCACCCTTCGATCCTTCTCCTCCAAACATGCATGATGACGTTCTCCTGGTCTGAACTGCCTAGCGTGAGTTGGTTCGCAGATGGGTTTGTCTCCATGGCATTTTCCCACATGTCCCTGAGCTTTCCATCATTCTGGAACCTGGGTTTTAAGCCTCAGTCCCTTTAGTCCTCAATTACTGAGTATTCAGTCTCACTAGTAACTTGAGTCAGGTCTACTTACTCAGGGTATATAGTTTATAGTTAATAATCAGCCCCGCATTTGTCTAACGCCCTTCGCACCGTCGGGAGCAGGTTGACGATGTACTTTCAGCTGTGCGTCAGCACCAAGAAGTCAGGAGAGGTTAGCTCCTCCAGTCTCCACTTTGCAGGGGAAGAGGTGCTATTCAGAAGCAGCTGACTTCCTGCGAGAGGCAAAGAGGACTGCCGTCTGAAAGAAATCAGGGGAAACTGCCGGGGCCTTAAAGAAATCTGAACATTTTCTGCAAGAGAGAATTAAACGGTGCAAAGATCACATTAAGGTGGCCTACTGCATGATAAAATTGTTGTGGGCTGATGAAATCAGACTAAATGACCTAAACTCTGCGTCACATGATAGAAGATTGAAGGAGCGCTGTGTCCATTTGCTAAAACTCCTCTTCCTTATTAGCCGACCGAGCAGAAGTTTTCTGTGCCCTCTCCTGGCTGGACTTTGAAACTACAGGACAGTGGTATTCTTTAAACGTCAGTGGGTGGGTCTTGCCTGGGATGAATTCATGCTCTCTCCTCCCTTTCTCTTGCCGCATTTGGACCAGAGAGAGACTGAACGGGCCATTTACATGGCATCTGGATAAAAGTGGTTGGATCAATGAGGCGCCCGGTGTCCACTGGGCAAGCTGAATAGACCGAACGACCAATGTCGTGTTCAAATAGTACGCATTATTTTCGAGATTCAGAAATGATGATGCCACTGCTGGAGGTAACTCCACGCTCGTGTGTGAAGCATTCCCTGAGGGATTGTTGAGTACGTAACTTTATAGGTGAAGCGTGGGGAGTCTGACCAACTTTGATGGAAGTATTCTAAACATGCTGAAAACTACTTTTCTTTAGGGCCGGTGGACAAAGGAGTGTAACAGTGAGTAGAGTGTCCCAGAAAGCTCCCTCCCCCCCCCACGCCAGGTGTCTCACGGAGGCGGGAGTTGATGCAGGATCATTTCTTCAGTCTCTGCAAGCACAGACAAGTTCAAGGTGTTGACTCCTTCTGTGGGGCCCTTGTGTCATTCTTTAGGCCAAAGGGAATCCATGCGGATAGCCGGAACATACACAATGTTTTCCTCACATGCTTCGGCTGTCACGGCCTTTTCATCACCCTAGAGCTGGTCTCCACAGCTTCCAGAAGATCTGTTCAGTCTTGCACTCACTCACCCACCAAACATTTATTCTATTACTTTTTTTTTTTTTTTAGTTTATTTATTTGAGAGACAGGGAGAAAGAATCCTGAGCAGGCTCCATGTTGTCAGCCCAGAGCCCGACTCAGGGCTCACAGTTTGTGAGATCATGACCTGAGCTGAAATCAAGAGTCGGATGCTTAACCAACTGAGCCACCCAGACGCTCCTGTTTTTTGTTTTCTAAGGCACCGCAAATTAGAGGCTGGCCAAAAGGATGAAGCACGGATCGGAACTTAGAGTTTGCCAGAACAGTGCTTTGGAAACTTTTTCCTGTCATGACACACGCAGAGAAATCATACAATTTTGGGGCGCCTGGGTGGCGCAGTCGGTTAAGCGGCCGACTTCAGCTCAGGTCACGATCTCGCGGTCCGTGAGTTGGAGCCCCGCGTCGGGCTCTGTGCTGACAGCTCAGAGCCTGGAGCCTGTTTCAGATTCTGTGTCCCCCTCTCTCTCTGCCCCTCCCCTGCTCTCTCTGTCTCTCAAAAATAAATAAATGTAAAAATAAAAAATAAATTAAAAAGAAAAGTCTGGGGGGGAACATTCAGCTGGTAAATAATACCAAATGTTTTAATGCTAACATAAACGTATTACGAAATGGAATGACACACACACATTTGCAAGATCAAGCATGAAACTGCAAAGAGACGTTGTGCTGGATAGAGCGTTGCCTTGAGCTGTCGCCCCAAGCCCGGCGGAAATGCGAATGAGCTCTCTCTCCTGCCCTAAGTAATGGAGATACGTGGATCGCGGCGCGAGGATTTCACTTTTTTTTTTTTCCTGATCCCAGTTCCTATACTTGAAAACTGAGAATTTTAAGGGTTTTAAGAGTTCCAGAGACAGTGGTTTGAGCACGGGCTTCAGCAGAACATTGGCATGTGGGGGTGAGGGTTGTGGGAGAGAACCTTCCGGGCGAGGAGATGGCATGAGTAAAGGACTGGAGGCAAGAAAGTGAGGGCTGTGTAAGGTGAACAGTGGTTCAAGAGCCAAGTACTGGAAGATGCACGAAGGGAAACAGAATTTAAAAAGTGGATTGTGAGGCACCAGGGTGGCTCAGTCGGTTAAGTGTCTGACTTCGGCTCAGGTCGTGATCTCGCGGCTCCTCATGGGTTCGAGCCCCGCATCAGGCTCTGAGCTGACAGGTCGGAGCCTGGAGCCTGTTCTGATGCTGTGTCTCCCTCTCTCTGCGCCCCTCCTCCGCTCACGCTCTGTCTCTCTCTCGCTCTCTCTTCTCTCAAAAGGAAACATTATAAAAAAAAAAGTGGATTGGCTTCAGGAAGCGTTATCTGGTGGGAGAGTGGAGACACCAAGTGGAAAGCTGTAGGTGGCACCACAGTAACAACAGAGGGAGCCAGTGGGGGTCTTGTAAGCAGGGAACCACCAGGACTGAGCAAAGCATTGGGCAGAGAGCAGGATCAAGAAGGAGGTGGCAAGTTGCTGAGCCACAGGCCACCTGAGATGCCATCAGACCATCCAGGTGGGGAGTCAGAAAATGGGCAACTGGGGGGTGCCCCCTGGGTGGTTCACTCAGTTGAGCGTCCGACTTCGGCTCAGGTCATGATCTCGCGGTCTGTGAGTTCGAGCCCCGCGTCAGGCTCTGTGCTGACAGCTCGGAACCTGGAGCGCGTTTGGATTCTGTGTTTCCCTCTCTCTGCCCCTCCCCCACTCATGCTCTATCTCTCTCTGTCTCAGAAGTAAATAAACATTAAAAAAAATAAAAAAAAAAAAAGAAAGAAAGAAAACGATACAGCCAGGACAAACACTATCGGAGAAATGGTAGAATCTGTTCATAGGGGTGGTAAGGGAGGGTCGCTTTTTTTTCTGGAAAACGGCAGGGACCTGTTCTGCAGCCCTCTTGCGACACTGAACACCCAGGATTGACCATTAGGAAACTTTGCCCCCATCGTGCAGAGTGGAGGCTGGGCGGTGTGGGTTTAAGGCTTGACGTACATGTAAAGGTTACCATTGAAAATTTTTTCTTTTTAACATTTATTCATTTTTGAGAGACAGAGAGAGAGTATGAGCAGGGGAGGGGCAGAGAGGGAGGGAGACACAGAATCTGAGGCAGGCTCCAGGCTCCAAGCTGTCAGCGCACAGCCGCACGCGGGGCTTGAACTCACGACCTGAGAGGTCATGACCTGAGCTGAAGTCCAACACTCAACCGACCGAGCCATGCAGGCGCCCCATGAAGGTTACCGTTTAAAGCCAATGCCGGCCTCTTCCATTCAATTTCACCTTCCAGAGATTAAAAATGTATACCACCACCCATGGCTCACATAACTTCATGACAAGCCACTTTTTCTTTCCCTGGTGGGGGCGCCCCCCCCCCCCCCCCCCGCCCCGAAATAAAGAGGACTGGAGATTAGGGGGCCCCCTGGCAGTGTGACCTTCACCAAGCTGGTCTCTAAGGCCTTTTTAAAAAAAGATTATTTAGAAAGACTACGCCCTGGGGCGCCTGGGCGGCTCAGTTGCACAGGCCTCTTGATCTCCTCTTGCGACCCGATCTCACAGGTCAGGTGTTCAAGCCCAGCCTGCGGCTCAGCTCGGATGGTGCAGAGTCTGCTTAGGATTCGGTCTCTCCCTCTCGCTCTGGCTCTCTGCCCCTCCCCTGCGCATGCTCTCTCTCTTTCTCTCAAAATAAATAAACTTAAACAAGAGACTCTGCTTCCCGGGAATCTTACCCCAGGCATTTCGTAACACATTATTTAAAAAAATGCATTTCCAATTTCTCTTCCTTAGAGAAAGTTTTCTTTCCCCCCTGTAACTCTTTCTGCTTTTAAAATATACTACTCTGAAAGGGAGAAGCAGGCGCCAAGGGCTTGCTTTTGCGGGGCGCAGACCCCAGGGACAGTGCGGTGGCCGCGGGGTGGGGGGCGGGGGGCGTCCCCCGGGGCCCGGTTCTGTTTACCGAGGGAGCCGGAGGCCGAAGTCCGGAGAGTGGGGCGGGGAGAGCGCGGCCCCTCGCCCGCCCTTGATCCCCAGGCCGCCGGCCCTTTGAGCACACACAGTCGGCCGTTCGGGCCGCTGCGGGGACCGGCGGGTGACATGCTGCGGCGGCTGGCGTCCCGCTGCGCCCTGAGCCTGGGGGCCCGCGGGGGCGCGCGCCCTGCCGCCGGGCTCCGCCACCTGGGCCGCAGCCCCCGCCGCCGGGCCTCCGATGCTCCCCGGAACCAGCCCCCCAGCTCCGAGGTCGTGGCCCGGCCGGTGGGCGTCTGCTCCATGATGCGGCTGCCGCTGCAGGCGTCCCCCCAGGGGCTGGACGCCGCCTTCGTCGGGGTGCCCCTGGACATTGGGACCTCCAACCGGCCCGGGGCGAGGTAAGGCCCGCAGGACTGGGGGACACGTGGCCGGACCACCCGATGGCCACTGGGCGCGAAAGCCCCACGGACGGCGCCTCCCCTCAGCCAGGGTGGGGGTGGGGGTGGAAGCTGGTGCCGGCTCCAGAACGCCCCTAATCGACTGACAGACCGTTGGTTTCCCCCCTCCCTCATCACACAATGCGATGGCACCTGATCTAGATGGCACCCGATCAAGAATTGCTCAAACACGAGGCTTTTATTTTTTTTAAGGTTAAAAAAATATATATTAGTTTTTAAATTCTTAATTTTTTTACACATTTACTCATTTTTGAGAGAGAATGGGAGACAGAGCATGAGTGGGGAAGGGACAGAGAGAGAGAGAGAGAGAGAGAGAGAGAGAGAGAGACACACACACACGCACACACACACACACACACACACAGAATCAGAAGCAGGCTCCAGGCCCTGAGCTGTCAGCACAGAGCCCCACGGGGGGCTCGAACTCACGACCGCCAGATCATGACCTGAGCCAAAGTCCGACGTTTAACAGACTGAGCCAACCAGGCGCCCCTAAAAATTATTTTTAAATAACCTCTACACCCAGCGTGGGGCTGGAATTTACAACCCCAAGATAAGGGTGGTAAACTCTATCGACTGAGCCAGGCAGGCGCCCCAAGGCATTTTTTCCCTAAGATCATGGCAGAGGAAGTGAAGTCTGTTTTCCTAAATAGTGAGCATCAGCTATGTCTGATTGGGCTCAGCCACTTTACAGATGTAAATACCGTATAGACGAATAATCTGAAGTAGAAATGCCACCATTTATTAAATGTCTACTAAATGCAAGGCGCTTTGCATAGATGACCTCACTTCATTCCTATAACATCCCAGGAAGGTAAATATTTTACAGATTAGGAAACTGAGGCTCACGGAGATGAAGAAGTTATCTAATGCCAATTAGTAAATTGGTGATGGGTGGGCTTCCAAGTCTGTGCCTTTAATCTCTTCATTATACAGCCTGGGTTTTAGTGATTCTCAATCAGGGATGATTTTGACCCCAGGGGACATTTGGTGGTGTTCTTGGAGGACTTTTTGGTTATCACAACTTGCTCCTGGCATCTAATCGGTTACAGACCAGGGGAACTATCCCACAATGTACCGCATGGCCCCCCACATCAAAGATTCATCCAGCCCCAAATATCAGCAGTGCAGAGGCTGAGAAACCCCGGCCGAGGTAGGACCTCTGACCTTTCAGGGATGGCTCACAGGATGATTCTTCCTCCTCCAGATTTGGACCCCGGCGGATCAGGGAAGAATCCGTGATGCTTCGGACAACCAACCCTAGCACGGGGGCCCTCCCCTTCCAGTCCCTCTCGGTTGCAGATCTAGGTGATGTGAATGTCAATCTTTACAACCTTCAGGACAGCTGCCGTCTAATTCGAGAGGCCTATCAGAAAATCGTAGCAGCTGGCTGTATTCCTCTGACCTTGGGTAATAACATCTACGAGGGCAAGTGCAGTTCTCTGCACGGAGGGTTTATTTATCACGGGCAAGCCGCGGTGAATATGGAGACGGTATAGGAAAGAGAATTTGTAATCCTTTTTGTTTGTTTGTTTATTTATTTTGAGTGGGGGAGGGGTAGAGAGAGAGAGGGAGAGAGAGAATCCCAAGCAGGCTCCATACTCAGTGCGCAACCTGATGCTGGGCTGGATCCCACGACCGCGAGATCGTGACCTGAGCCGACCTGAGCCACGGTCGAGTTCGACGCTCAACCAACTAACCCACCCAGGCGCCCCTCTAATTAATGTTTCTTCTCCCCTGGGGAGAGGATATTTACATTTTTGGACTGGTACGATTGACAGGGATGGACTAGGGTGAGGCAAACGAGGCATTCACTTTAATGTTTATTTATTTTTGAGAGAGAGAGACAGAGCGTGAGCAGGGGGGTGGGCAGAGGGAGAGGGAGACAGAATCCAAAGCAGGCTCCAGGCTCTAAGCTGTCAGCACACAGGCAAGGCATTTGCTTTAGTGCAAAATTTAAGGTGCCAAAAAGTCAACAATAAATATGACTGACTTTTCCCTTTTGCCTGAGGCTCCGATAGGGCTCAGAATAGCAGTGTTACTGATCCTACCTTTCTTTAAAATTTATCATGGATTTTTGGGGGGGGGTACTGATTTTGAATTTTAAAAGCATTACATTAAACTAGTATTTATCTTAATTACTGAGGTTTTTTTGTTTCGTTTTGTTTTGTTTTTGGTGTCCCTGAAATTTTGCGTCCCAGCAAGTGCCTCTACCCACCTCACCTTTGTCACCTCCCTCCTCCATTCCAGGCCCCGGGGGAAGGCTCACAACAGGGGCTCAATTGTGACTTCCTAACTATTTCAAGAACCTGCTTTTTTTTTTTTTTTTTTAATTTTTTTTTTCAACGTTTTTATTTATTTTTGGGACAGAGAGAGACAGAGCATGAACGGGGGAGGGGCAGAGAGAGAGGGAGACACAGAATCGGAAACAGGCTCCAGACTCTGAGCCATCAGCCCAGAGCCCGACGCGGGGCTCGAACTCCCGGACCGCGAGATCGTGACCTGGCTGAAGTCGGACGCTCAACCGACTGCGCCACCCAGGCGCCCCTATATGACTTTGAGAGAGAGGTGCGAAGGGGCATTTTCCTCCAAGTCAGGGTCTCTGTCCATCTATGGAGTTTTCCTCTTACCCCCCACCCCTCCCACCCTTCCATTTCTCTTTCTCTTCCAGTTCACAAAGAGTTAAAATGACACAGACCTTTTTCCAAATATCCAAATGTATTTTTGCCAAAAGCGTGGGCCCAGCCTGCAGAACATCGTGCGTGGTGAGGAGTGTGGTTTCTGGAGGGACACGGTTTGAAATCTCAGCTTTACCTCTCCCTGGCTCCTCCTGCGTCATTTCCTCACCTGTAAAATGGGAATCATAGCACCTACCTCACTGTGTTGTGTGAGGGCCACATAATGAAAGCGCACATAAAGTACCCCGCATCCTGACTGGCATATTTTGAGCTTCTGTAAATGCGGCTACTGTTGTTTTTAATGGTCATCTATCGTAATACTTTTTTACTGAGCTGGCCAGTGCAGTGCCCATTAGCCACATGTGGTTATTTTTTTTTCTTTTTCTTTTTTTTTCTTTTTCTTTTTTTTTAATTTTTTTTTCTTCAACGTTTTTATTTATTTATGGGACAGAGAGAGACAGAGCATGAACGGGGGAGGGGCAGAGAGAGAGGGAGACACAGAATCGGAAACAGGCTCCAGGCTCCGAGCCACCAACCCAGAGCCCGACGCGGGGCTCGAACTCACGGACCGCGAGATCGCGACCTGGCTGAAGTCGGACGCTTAACCGACTGCGCCACCCAGGCGCCCCAACACATGTGGTTATTGAAACTGAAATTAATTTTCAGTTGGTTTAGTGGCTGACCCTCAATTTCGGTTCAGGGCATGATCTCCCGGTTCGTGAGTTCGAGCCCCGCATCGGGCTCTGCACTGACCCTAAGGAGCCTGCTTAGGATTCTCCCTCTCTCCCTCTCTCCCTGCCCCTTCCCTGCTCGTGCTGTTTTTTTCCCCTCCAAATAAATACACTTAAAAAAATAAAATTAAAAGTAATTAAAATAAAAAATTCAGCTCCTCCGTGGCATGAGCTACATTCCAGTGGCCACATGTGGGGAGTGGCCACCACGGTGGCCAGTGCAGCTAGAGAACATGCCCGTCATTGCAGAAAGAAAGCTCTACTGGACAGAGCTGTTCCAGACATCTGACCTGTAAGCTTTAATTTGTTTCCTCTTTTTAAATTTTATTTATTTGTTTTGAGAGAGAGAGCCAACAGGGGCAGAGAGAGAGGGAGAGAGAGAGAATCCCAAGCAGGCTCCACGCTGTCAGCAGAGAGCTCGACGCGGGGCTCGATCCCACGCACCGTGAGATCATGACCGGAGCCAAAGTCGGATGCTTAACCAACTGAGCCACCCAGGTGCCCGTTTCCTCTTTTGGATGACAATGTAATCCCGAGTATCCCGTGGCCATTTTCCCACCACTGAACGAGATCTCATTTTAGCTGAGTATGTTATAGTTCTTCAGTCCAATCAAAAGGGTGGCACCGTTGGGCGATTTGAGGATTGCTCTGTAAAATACACGGTCCCCCCCGCCCCCATCTTATCCACATGTCAGATGTTTTCTTTTTCCTCTTTGCAGGTGGAGATCACACAATCACATATCCTATATTGCAAGCGATGGCCAAAAAGTAAGTCCCAGGCGTCTGGTTCCACACAAGGTTTCAAACTTCAGGGGCTAGGGAATGAGTTGTTTGCGACTCCCTGGCATCGAGTGACCTCTGCTGGCTCAGGTTATTTGGGGTGATAGGAAATTCCCGGCTGAGTTGCTTCTGTGGATCAAAATTAAGGTCGGGCGAGCTCCAGGTGTCCCTGTCAGTCACCAGCTGGGAGCCAAGACGATTTATTTTTAACACTTCTGGCCACCCTGGCTTGCCCTACATCGGCTCTGGTGAATGCATGCCCAGCCTGTGCCTCTGTTTTGGGAAGATGAGCCCCTCGTGAAATATACAACCCCAGTTAACTTCAGTTTCTGTTTTGCTTCAAAGGCCAAATGCACAATGATGTTGCTTGCCGGGGAGGGGCCCCGTTTCTTCCCGAAAGGGCCCCTTCCCCAGAGAACGAGAAAATGGATATTCTAGTAATGGAAGTCTACCAGGGACGAACTAACTTTGGTTAATTAGCTTGAAGAAGAGGCAGAAGGCCAAGGCGGTGGCGGCTCCAGTATCCATATGAGGGAAAGACATGTGGGCAGCCTTCTGGTTGGTGGTGGGTGGGCTCAAGTCTTTTCTGGAGGCATCGATTTAGACGATATGTTTCTTTGGGGCGGCCGGCAGGGTTGATGGAGATTATGGAGAGGGAGCTGGGTTTGAACCTGCTTCTTGGTTGTAGAAAGGCTCTGATTAGTTCAGCCGAGCTCACCTGAGCCCCATCCTTCCTTCTCATCCTCCTGGGCCTCTCCGTCTCCAAGTGAAGAAAATTCGTGGTGCTAGGTAGTGGGTGGGTACGCTTCAGTACCTGTCTGTTCTCTGCCTGCCTTTCTCTGAGTTTATCGCTCTGAGATGCTAAACGATTTGCAGACGGACACCAGTTGCAAGGCCGGTAATTGATGGCAGGTCTCCGCTCCGTGGCCATGAACTGTGAAGTTTGGAAGTTCGGTGGCCTAGGGGGTGGCTGTGCTCAGGCCCCGGGAGGAGGTCTGGCCTCTGAGCTGTGTGCTGTCATCAGGCATGGCCCCGTGGGGCTGCTGCACGTGGATGCCCACACGGACACGGCTGACAAGGCCCTAGGAGAGAAGGTCTATCATGGGACGCCCTTCCGCCGGTGCGTGGACGAGGGACTCCTGGACTGTAAGCGCGTGGTCCAGATCGGCATCCGGGGCTCTGCCATGACCCTGGATCCCTACAGATACAGCTGGAGCCAGGTGACAAACCAAACGCCCCTCCCTCTGTCCCCAGTCTGCAAAGTGCCCTTCTGTCCGGTGCCCCCTCAGTGGTAGCTGTAGATTCAACAGGGGCTTCAGTGACCAAATTCAGAAAACGGGACGGAAGGCCGAGTGGCCATCGAGAGGGTCACGTGGAGCCGAGAGGAGCGAGGCTGTTAGTTCGTGAGGCAAAGGAGGCCGCTCGTCGCTGGGGTGGGGAGGCGGGTGGAAACACACCCATCCCTGGGCCGTCGCTGGCTTGGAAAAGAGCCGGGGAGGCCCAAAGCCAAGGCGAGCGGCCACCTTTCCGGTTCCTGTCCTCTTCCCCACCAGGCAGAGTGGCTCCTAGGTGGACACGTGTGACAAGATCCCAACAGGAAAGACCCAAGTCCCCTGCTTTTAGAGTGTGCCAAGGCTAGTCTTGGAGGAGGTGCTACCGCGAGCTGACCCGAGTTTCTCCCTCCCGTCCTAGCCACGCTGCCCTCTGATCCCGTCCCCCTGGGGCAGCTTCGACTTCCTACCTGCTTCTTCACCAGCTGTCGTTCCTCCCTTCCTCACCAGTCAAACGGGGACGACCGTTCCGTCCTCGTGAAGATTGGGGGTCACGTGTGAAGCGTCCACAAGGCACTTGGCGTGGGGTTGGCACGGGAGAAATGCCCCGTAAATGCTGCCATGCAGAAGCCTCGACCTCCTGCTCTTTACTTCCTGCCTCCTCAGGGCTTCCGGCTGGTCCTGGCTGAAGACTGCTGGATGAAGTCCCTGGTTCCTCTGATGGGGGAAGTGAGGCAGCAGATGGGAGGCAAACCCATGTACGTCAGCTTTGACATTGACGGCTTGGATCCCGCCTACGCCCCGGGGACAGGGACGCCCGAAATTGCTGGTCTCACCCCTAGTCAGGTAAGGAGGTTTCACCAGTGATAGTTCCTGGGGGTGAGGATTCTTAGCCAGCGCCCCCCCCCCCGCCACACCCCCGCCCCCCACTTTCCTGGGACGTGTAGTGAGTCTTCAGGATCGGGATAGGATTTTAAAAGCAGAGCACTTGGGCTTTACTCTGCTCAGGGCTGACCACAGGTTGAACACTCTTCTGGCACGAGGAGTGGACTGATTTTGGCAAAGGCCCTCATTTCTTCTCTGGGACATAACTGTCTGTTACTTGAGCTTTGTGCCTCTGATCACCTGTAGTTGGTGCATGGGGACAGTTTGCAGCATCCCCTCTTGAAAACACTGAACTTATCTTTTGGGGGTTAAATTTAAAAAGTGCTATGGGACTACCTACCAAGGTAGTTCAAGAGTTTTAGAAACATCCAAATAAAGCTCTCTCTTTTCCTTTTTTGAGAGAGAGAGAGAGAGCGAGTGCACATGAGCAGGGAGGGGCAGAGGGAGAGGGAGAGAGAATCTCAAGCAGGTGACGTGCCCAGTGTGGACCCTGACGTGCGGACCCTCATGATTGTGAGATCATGGCCAGAGCCAAAATCAAGAGTTGGATGTTCGACCAACTGAGCCACCCAGGTGGCCCCCAAATAGAGATTTCTTAAGGTGTGCTGAGTGTGAATTAATGCAGGAGGCAGAATTGGAGTGTGGTTATAACTGGAAGGTAAGCTGCAGGAGGGTAGGGCTTTTATTTTACCAGTCCACCCCTCAGTCTAGAACAGTGCCTGACTTAAAGGCTAGGAACTCAAAGGCACTTGAGTAAATAAATGAAGGCCACTTACACCTATCAGTGATCTTATCTCCTCTAAGAAAGGGGCATGTTAGCAACTACCTCTTCCAAGCCATTCTCCATCGGTTCCCCTCGGAGAGATTTCTAAGACACAATGCTCATTCCTCAGTTTATCATTCTTCTGGGCTTTTCACCGGCACAATGGAAACTCTTTGAGATGACGTGACTTCTTCCTACCATCCCCCTCACTTATCTTGTCTTCTGGCCACATCCAACTACCGGTATTTCTTTCCATCTTGGGGTCTTTGCGTGTGTCTTTCTGCCCAGGCTGCCCTATCCCTAATCTGCTTGGTCAATTCCTTGAACTAAGTGTTTCCACCTTGGGGAGGGCTTCCCCCAGCTCTTTGGGTGGTTTTTGTATTATACTTTGCTACACTTGTGTTTTTTGTTTTTGTTTTTTAAAGTAATCTCTGCACCCAACACGGGGCTCGAACTCATAACCCTGAGATCAAGAGCTGCATGCTCTACTGACCGAGCCAGCCAGGGACCCCCTACGCTTGCTTTTCTTGAAGCCTTTCATGCATGACATTGAAATGACTGGTTTGCTTGTGTCCGTCATCACACGATGGACCCCCTCGGGAGCAGGGGCTGTGTGTTGGCCATTTGTGTCTACGTGATGCCCAGCAGTGTGCCTGGCAGTCGATAAACGTTTATCGAGCGGAAGCAACAGCTCCAAGTCCAAGGGTGGGCATGCATTGGGAGAGATCCACTGGGATCTCTGTAGTTGCTTTTTCCGGTCAATGGTGACTGCTGTGGACAACTCAGGCTTGGTCTTGGACAGGCGCTGGAAATCATCCGGGGTTGTCAAGGCCTGAACGTGGTGGGCTGTGATCTTGTGGAAGTGTCACCGCCTTATGATCCTTCGGGTGAGTAAGCGACAGTACTGTGATCCGTAAGCAGCTGCGAGTTTAAATTCTATTAATCTGCTTAATAAGTAGAATTATTTCTGCTTCCTATCCTGCGTCCTTTTGTATAACTTGGGAACCTGCTGCGCGTGTTCTGCAGTGAAGAAAATAAACCTATTGCTCCACACCTTACAGACGTGAGCTAATTAACTCGAACACACACCCCTGGGAGGTGGCTCTTACTAGCTTGCCCTCCCGTCAGCAGAAGGAAAACCAGCCCCCAGGAACAGTGATAAGGTAATTGGTAGTAGGATAGCACAGCCCCCCCTCCTCCTTTGCTGTTTCATGGAGAAGTGAATTGTCGCGGCCTAAGTGATGTTTATTAATATTAAAAAAGTGGGCAGTTAGCTGGTTTAGGAGAGAGATTCAAAGCAGAGGCCGCCCCAACAATTTCAATTTAGAGAACTTACAGACTGAGGCCCGTTAGCTTCGGAGGAGAGTAGGTGATAAATACAATACACACCATTATTATAGGCTTTCCTTTGGGGTGGGAATCTGTTTGTAAACAAAGAGCCTTCTGGTTCAGGGGAAAGCGTGTCCACAGGGTGGCTGGGCAGAAGAGGGAATCTGGAAAGGCAGCACAAAGGCAAGCGAGAGGCTCGGCCCGCTGGCTCGGTGTTCACCTCTGGTTTTTTATCTTTGTAGGAAACACGGCCCTCCTGGCGGCTAACCTGCTGTTTGAGATGCTGTGTGTGCTCCCCAAAGTGACAGTCGTCTGAACCTCGTGCTCTTCCTGATAAATCAGCAGCTTGTGTCGATGACAGATGCTCAGGAATTTATGTGCAAGAGGCCTGAGTACTCAAGTTTATGCCAGTAAAACCTTCTGCTGGAGCGTCACTGGAGGCTGTAAAATCAGGGCATTCAGTAGAAGTCTGATCCAACAGCTAATATTTCTAAGGAGTCTGAATTAAAGAGAAGCACGTGTGTTGTTACAAGGGACAGAGCATTTAGTTTAGGATTATCTAAGAACTGGAGAAGTGAACTTAAAAAAAAACAAACAAACCAACCCATAGGACAGAATCCCGTATAAACATCTCCTATGTCTCCAGTTCCTCTTCCTTTACACTATGGCTCCTCCTGAGGAACTCAGGGCTGCGTCTGGGTTTTAGGCCATTTGTGAACATAAACAAATAGTTTGAAAGTAACATGCAGACTCTCACAAAGAAACTGCCCACCCAACAGCCCAGGAGGGCGCATGGAATGTCTTTTCAACCAGACAGCGGGTGGCCTCCAAAGTGCCCTTGGTGACACTTCCTTAACCTACTCCCTGCCTCAGTTTCGCATCATCTGCTCTTTGCGCTGGCCCACCCTCTAGGGTAGCAGCTCCTGAGATCTGCACTGAAGATTCAGGCATGTGTTTGAGTTACACGCAAATTCAATTTTGTTGAGAATGGGTCCACGATCAAATCCTCCTCTTCCTGATGCAAGGGCGACGCGTAATCGTCACACATTAAAATAGTTTATTTCTGTTTCCAGTCTGTAATATTCTTAAAACAAAAATAACATCAGCTTCAGTGCCTGTTCACAATACAAAACAAAAACAACATAAAAAAGACACCATTTGCCAAGTGAGTTATTTGTTCCTAAGAGTATCAAAAGTGCAAAATATTCACCTTCTTTTCAGACCGCTCTCTAAAGTTTCATCCTCCTCCTTGACAAACTGAGTGGACAGATTCACAGCTGCCACACTGCATTTGTTTCCAAGGGACAAGGTCAGGCATTTGGATGCGAGCAATTATTTCATCTGTAAAGACATTCTGCATCAGCTTTTAAAGAATTTTACTTAGGAAAAAATTTGAGTGTCTGCTTCCAATCTCTTTTCCCAAACAAAGCAAATCACTTAAAACACAGTTAGACCTCATTTCTTTTTAAATCAGGAAAAACATGTATGTGCTGAACGAGGAGGCAATCAGCCTATTAATTTGAAAACTACGGCCAAATTTTCACGGTCGGTAGGTGATGGCAGAGAGAGACCATGGTGCTTAATGGAAGTCAAGGTGGTCTTATGGAAACGCTGCTGACTCATAGCTGACAGTCTCTTAGACAAATTATGCCACCGGCACCTGGACGATAAAAAAAATATTTGTAAGTAGGTGTGTATTCTACAAAGACTTGTTTTAGGCCAGTTTTCATCCCCATCCGCTAAACATGATGCGTAGTCTCTATCAACCAGAAAACCCTACTTCTAAAAATAAAACATTGTCAGTCTCAACATATTCAAAGGCCAGGAAGTTAACTTAAAGCTGAAATTAGGTCTGTGTGATTACACACAAGAGGGGAAAAGGTGGCATTGGCCGAGTGTGACAGCGGCTCATACATCTGACACAAAAGTAAACCAATTCATGGGAACGTTCAGGAGGATAGGCTTGGGTGGTCAAGGGCGAAGTTCAGTCGAAGTAAAACCTCCCTAGTGTCCTCTTGGGGGACATCTCTTTCAGCCCCAAACAGACCAGTGGAAGAATTTGCCAGGAATGTTTCTAATCCTATTCTCACTTTCCTTTCTCAGTGCAAAGGAGGGTGCGGCTAACTGTCCGAAGGTGCTTTTGATTTTAATGGGAAACATTTTTAAAGTGAACAAAGCTGGGGAGATATCTGTTTTCAGAAATGAAGGTCACGAATCCCATTAGTACCAGAAGTTAAAAATCAAAGCCCACCACTGAACCAAAACACCACTCGCATCAGCAACGTGGCCATAAGAGACCTAGAAAATAACTCGGAGGACGGCGCATCGAGGAACCAAATGAGTCCCTTAATCACGCCTGCCTGGGCCAGGTGCCAGGAGGTACGGCCACCAGAGCAAGCATCCAGTTTTTAGAGGATCATGTGGAAAAAAAATGCAGCCTGGCAGTGATTTCGTTCTTTCTTCCTTTTTTAAATAAAGCTACAGACTCCACGGAAACTACAGGAACTCCTGGGCTTACATAATTAATTACTTGCCACCGTAGCTCAATATTTAAATTATTCAGGATCCAAATCGCTTAGTTTCAAGCAATTATGATTAAAGAGATACTAACTCAGTAAATGTCCCATCAGTGATTCCGACCCTTCCTTTTATAGAAGGGCAAATTTACTTTGACAGGAGAACTGACCACTCTCGGAAGTTGTTCAAACTCCACCGGTGGTTCTGCCCTAAAAAAAAAAAAAGAAAAAAGAAAAAAGACAAGAAAAAAAGGCAAGCTCTCTAACTGGCTGGTGTGATCCACTGTGCACTGGAGCTCTGCAAGCTGGGTGCTGATGGTGGGCCGGACCCTGTTAGTGGTGAAGCGGTTGTTGAGTTAAGAGTGAAAGCAACTGAGATATCAAAATCTAGGCCAGAAGCTCAAAGGAAGCCTTTTGCCAAACAGGAGTCTAGAACAAGTCTTGGGTCACTTGTCACAAAAGAGAGCCCAAAGTTACAGCACTTTGGGGGTAACAGTGTTCAAAATACAATTGTTGAAAAGAAATTTTAAGTTCCTTGATACAAAGACAGGTCTGGTAGTTTACTAAAGAGACACGACTGGAGGTTCCTCGAGCCTGACTCAGGGCAGGTGGGAATGAGGTGTCTTCATTGAACATCTACTGGCTTCTAGCAGCTTATCTCTACGTCCAGAGAACAAGGTCACAAATCATGGCTCCTAAGATTCATACCCTAAAACTGACAGAGGGAGAAAGGCATGGGAAAAAGTACGCGTGAATGGCTCAAAGTCATTACAGTACTTCCTGCCGTGCAGATCCCTCCCTGGCGACATCTAGTGCTGAGGCGGCGGCCGGGGGGACACCACCGAGAGGTCACTTCGGTCACTGCCCAGCCCTCCCTTCTTTTGTCTTGGGAAGGAAACCAAATTCACATGCAGAGCCCCCACTTATCCCCAGCCTTTTAAAACTCTGGCTGCCAAACCGGGGCAGGGGGATACGCCCCAAATATACTTTTAGCCACTGACTACTGGCAAAACTATCAAATGTTAAGGTTGCTTGGAACCGGGCCTCTTTCGGGATGCAGGGCCTAGAAGCTGCCGTGGGCTGTCCGGGTGACGACGCAGCATGCACCGGGGCAGAAGCGGAGCGGGGGTGGGGCAGGGCGGGAAGTGACCCGACCAGCACTCCGGGCTCGCGAGGTTCCGTCTGGGTACCGCTGCGGGCTGGAGCCCCCAGCTTCTCCCACAGCACAGAGACGGGACAGGGGAGCGAGGTGTGAGCATGTGACGGGGCGGGACGACAAAAAAAGAGGGAATGAGCAGGTCTGCTTTAGATGGTGTGGCATTCAAACGAGGGCGAAGAAACCCACAGGAAAATCTTTTGATCTGGGGGATTCAGCTTGAGGTGTTTTTCACTCCTAGGTTAGAACAGGACAAAGGAAAGATTCTTCTAGCCATTGTTCCAGAAGAATAATCTAGAATCTATTCTCTGTCCTCGGTGATAGGTTGAGTCCTGAAAAGGCCTGTTCGCAGGGGCCTATTAAAAAGCCTGAAGAGTTTAAGTCTCTCTTGAGCCCCTCTCAGTCTAGTTCGGGCCACGACGGGATATAAAACCTCTGTAAGGAGCCTTCCAGCAGCCGCTCCATCCATAAGGACAACTTGCTCAATTTTCCTTTGACGGGCCTGGGTCCAAGGCCACAGGAAGGTTTCCCCCGCGACTCGCCCAGATGGAGGGAAGAGTCAAGGGCACCGCAAGACCCCATGGCTTCCTCCTCTTCCACTGCTTTCTGGGGCTTGAAGAGGCAGAAGTATTTCTTGTGGCCGTTCAGGGCCAGCACGTAACCCGTGTAGTCCCGTTCCATGAAATGCTTGTCATACTGGTTTGGGATCGGGGCGGCATCTTGAGCAAACTCCAGCAAGTACTCCAGCCATTCTCTGTGTTTGTCCAGACTCAGGAAGGAGAAGTGCAGGCAGCTGCTCCTGCCGGAAGGACAGAAGAAAGACTTAGGGCACATCCTGACGCCTTTAACCGCAGGGGACACGAATGCCTCAGTCAGATTTCAAGTGGCAGGAGGAGGCGTTGCGTCGGGTGGGGCCTGGAGACGGGCAGAATGGGGGATTCCCCTGGGACCTGAGGGCTGCTTCCACACGTGCCACGCTCTGCTTGCCCCATCGCCCTGTCTCCTGCTGGGTGTCCCCTGTGTCCCTCTCGGTGTCCGGCTTCAGTAAAAACACACGAGAGTGACAGGGTAGAGCTCCCTGAAAGGCTCAGGGAAGAAGCCGGGGGGGGGGTGGGGTGGGTGGGAGCTCTTCTGTTCAGAAGCATCGGGACAGGGAGTCAAGGGGACAAGAGGTCACAGCCAACATCTCGCTGCAAGCAAGGAGCCCCCCGTGGTCAAGGGGAAAAGGGTGAAACTGTCCTCCAGCTCCCCCCTCACCCGAACGTGCCCTCCCTTGCTCTCCCTCCCACGAGCTTACCCAGTGAATGTGTAGACCTCCAACGCGAACTTCTGCAGTAGGCTGGTCTTGGTGGGGTCTGACAGGATGAGGACCACGTTCATGTGGCCCGGCCTCAGGCGGACCAGGTTACTGGTGTATGTCACGTCTGTGAGTTCCGTTACTTCCACGAAGCCCTTTTTAGGGATCTTGCTGTGGGGAGATAGTGAGGAATTAAGATGTTATCAGGACAGGGGAATGCCATTACTTTGGGAAAAAAAAAAAAAACAGGAGGAAGAAAATGCTCTGTTCCAACCAGACTAGACAGGTTATTTAATATTCTCGAGCCTGGCACCCTGGCAGGACAGGGACGGTCCCTCCTTGGTGGTCCTGGGCCTACGAAGAGCCTTTCAGATGCTACTGTTCAGCTGGTGGAGAAGCGGCTTTAGGACCGGATGAAAGCGCTCACCACGGTTATGGTGATGCACCCTTCTCTGCGTCTGGCTCATCTAGTGGCTCTGACATACTTGGCCTCCTGCCCCCATTATTAAATTTGAGATCGAGAGCCTGCAGGTACTGAGTAGAAGGTAAGTAGGTCCTGTGTCTAAAGGCCTACGGGGTCTCAGTAAACACTAGCTGGCGGCTGACTTGCCCCTAAATTCACATCTCACACACAAGGAGGTGAACCCGAGTGCGTGTATAGACTGGTTCTGGAACACCGCTCTGTCAGACCAACTCGGCCTGTGGCTCTCCTGCCGGGGTGGTGTGGTGGGGGTGGGTTTGGTGTCCCGTTAGAGAAACCTGCTGTTTTCTTTGGTGAAGCTTGGCTCAGTCTTCCCGGCCTTCTCGTGGACTTCCTCTTTATCTGGAGGGTTTGACTCTCGCTCATCGTTCGAGTCACTAAAGTAAGAAACAAGGAGTTTAGGGGCGTCTGGGTGGCTCAGTCGGTTAAGCATGCAACTTCGGCTCAGGTCATGGTCGTGAGGTTGGTGAGTTCGAGCCCCGCGTCGGGCTCTGTGCTGACAGCTCAGAGCCTGGAGCCTGCTTTGGATGCTGTGTCTCCCTCTCTCTCTGCCCCTCCCCCGCTCATGCTCACTCTTTCATTCTTTCTCTCTCTCTCAAAAGTAAATAAACGTTAAAAAAAAAAAAAAAAAAAAAAAAGAAACAAAGAGTTTTACAGAAGGAACAGTACAAATGACCCCGAGGTGTGGGGCCCACCCTTGGGAAATCCCACTGAGAAGCCACACAGGCATTTACCTGAAAGCCTGAACGATGACTGTGCCAAAGAGGATGAAGAGGGCAGAGAAGACCAGGGACAGAAGGGGCATCATTTCCCGCCTAAAACAAAGGGAATAAACCCTGGTCAGCTCTGGATGGGCTGTGACCTCAGTTCATGATACGAGGTATCTTCTCCCTGGCTCAAACAAAACCAAAAAAAAAAACCAAAAAAACAAAACAAAACAAAAAAACCAAAACCAAAACCAAAAAAACCCCAAACCAAAAAGGCTTCGTATCAATAAACACTTTCTAGTTTCATACAAATAGAGGTTTCTTTTGAGGGTGAGGGTGGTGGTGGGGAAAGCGGACAGTTTTTCCCTCACCATTTTAGCTCAGACTGCTTATTCCAAAAGCTTGATATTACGGGGAGCCTGGGAGGCTCAGTCGGTTAAGCGTCCGACCCTTGACTTCGGCTCAGGTCATGATCTCATGGTTCGTGAGTTCGAGCCCCACATCAGGCTCTACACTGACAGCATGCAGTCTGCTTGGGATTCTCTCTCCCTCTCTCTCTGTCTCTCCCCTGCTCATGCTCTCTAAGATAAACTTTAAAACAAATAAATAAAATTTTGATACTCTGTCTTAACGTAATAGGTTCTGCTTAGTAGGTTCTGCAGAAGGAAGTCAGAAGATTTACGTTGTGAATGTGGGAGAACATTCTGATGTCAAGGGTGGTATCGGTGGCTAAAAAGTGTGTGGGACTCTTTCCTCTATTTTGATTTTTTTCTGGCCAGAATAACTCAGACATGGCCCAAAGGGGGTAGAGCAGGAAGAAAAAGGTGGCCTTTCGCAATTTCCTCTAGGACCGGCGCTCTAAAATTTAATTCGCCCGCCGACAGTCCTCCAAGGCCTGCCATTTGTCAGGAGTTGTGCTGGGTGCCAGGAATCACCGACGTGAGGGCGATGTGGCTCTGTCCTTCAGGAGCTCGCGGTACTTTGGGGGGTGGGGGTGGGACATGCCTCCCGTCTCTGGTTAACTCACTGACGGGTTTGTACGTCTCTACGCCGGCCCCCGTGTGGGCCAGGCCCCGGGCTGGGCATCAGGGGCGCCTCGATGGAGAGGACAGGCCCAGGCTGTGCCGCGTGCAAGCACGGCCCCGGGTGATCCTTTCTCACCCAACCAGTGGGAGAGGGTCAATCAGCAAACACGTAAAAAGCGAAGTGACTGCGAGAAAGAAAAAGGGAACGAACACGTGTTGGAAACGTGTACACGACCTGCCACTTGTCTGGATCAAGTTTACACTGAAATCGAAGGACAGAGTTTTCAAGAGAAACACAGTGGTTCTACTAGCATTGGAGAAAGAGAAATTCAATGTAGCAATGTTCCCACCAGTTATTGTGAAATATGCTGTCCCAGCAGTCCGAGATGTAGTCGGAAGCGGAGTAGAGCCACCGGAGGAGGAAGATCTGTTGGGAGAGAAAACACACGTCGGTCAGGACGGGGCGCCTGAACCCCAGGAGGCAGAAGTCCTTGCCCACGACAGCGTGCTGCCAGCCTCTGCTCAGGCTCCTCACGAGCCCTGCCCGGAGCCCCCTCTCCTGGGCCACGTGCTTACAGGGGCAAGTTCATCGGTCAGGTCGGGGAGCACTGCCTCCGAGGACAGGAGAGCGGGGTCTCTGCGCAGCTGGTCGAGATGGCCCAGGAGGGTGAACTTATCACTCTCACTCCCTGTCCAGGGAGCTTCGAGGGTTTTATACACCACCCTTCCTCCCGTGGTGCGCCTTTCCAAGATAGACACCTGGCGGGAAAAGAGAGGAAGCCGTCAGGAGTCTTTCCAAAAGGATGGGAAGTTCCTGTTTGGTCTTTTTTCGGGGGGGGGGGGGGTGTGTGGAAAAAAGGATCCAGTGGAGTCAGCAATGAACTCAAACACGGATATGGGTCGGTAGAAAATATGTGCAAGAGATTCACTTTTTTTTCTGGCAAAGAAACTACGGTGACTTTCCACAGCTTTTGCTAAGAGTTAAAGCTCTTTCTTCTGAGTAGACTTTTTTCTGTAACCTCTGACTTAATATAATAAAGAAACTTTCTCGTTTAGAGAGATTTTCCATGATTACCAAAGGTGACAAAGAGAGGATTTAATGCTTCTGTAGAGTGATGACAAAGGAGGGGAAGGGAAGGAGAGATCAATTAAAATGCAGTGAAAAGAGGCAGAAGTAAAGGAGGGAGAAATTTTGAAAGCCTTTTACTGGTGGTCTAAGGAAGATTTTACAAAGTAGGTACTCTAAGACTAGACCCGGCATGGGGAGAAAAACTGGGGAAAAGAACTGACACTCCTGAACCTTTACTCATAGGAAAGATGCTTTCTGTGAAGGTCTAAGGCTGAAAATCTAGGATGTGAAATCCCCAAGGTCCAAGACTGTTTCAGGAGTAGGCTTTCAAAACAGGCTCAGAGATTTCTGGACCCCTGGAATCTGTATTCAAAACTCCCAAAGGAGGAGGAAACAGTATCAGGCGCCATGAGCTTGTCAAGAGCTCAGAGTCAGAAGAGAATCCATGACTCACCGCGGATCTTCCTGGAAACGTATCACTGTCCGGTACTAAGGTGGTGGCAAACTCCTGCTGCCGGTTACTGTAGATGTGCACGAATCTCACGGTGTCCTGTGTGTTTGCCAGGGCAAAGGACAGGAAAGCCTCAAAGGGTTTCCCCAGCTTGGTAGCCTCGGGAGTCAGTAAAACCACACAGTACCTGCACAACAACAAAAGAGAAGACTTTATGAACTGATCTCCGAGGCCAAGGCTAGGACCTGTGACGGCAGGTGAAGGCGACGAGGAGCAGGCGCTCATTTGACAGACGAAAGCCGGGTGTGAGAAGGTCTCCAACGAGGGATTTCCAAGTCACCGATGACCTGTTCTTTTCCAGACTGGTGATGTCTTCCCCAAAGCAAACTTTACCACACTTAGGAATTTCTTTATTTCTCTTTTTTTAATGTTTATTTATTTTTGAGAGAGAGAGAGAGAGAGAGAGAGAGAGCAAGCAGGGGAGGGGCAGAGAGCAAGGGGGGCCAGGGGTTGGAAGCAGGCTCTGCGCTGACAGCAGAGAGCCCGACGCGGGGCTCGAACTCGCCAACCGTGAGATCATGACCTGTGCCCAAGTCAGCTGCTCAACCGCCTAAGCCACCCAGCTGCCCAGGAATTTCTTTCAGGGCAACGGCTCTGAGTCCTTGATGCAGAAGGGCTTCCAGAAGCCAACTGTTGTAGTTCTTTTGCCACAGGCAGGGTTGTTCAAATCTACCTTGGGCTGGGGGTCTCTGAGCCTCATTCTGAAGGGCTTCCTTTGCAATCTTTCCAAGGGTAAGTGTAGCTCATCATTTATTCATTCTCCAAAATATTTTTTTAAAAATTTTATGTTTATTTATTTTTTGAGAGAGAGAGAGAGAGAGAGAGAGAGAGAAAGAGAATGCAAGTGGGGGAGGGACAGAGAGAGAGAGAGGAAGACACAGAATCCAAAGCAGGCTCCAGGCTCTGAGCTGTCAGCACAGAGCCCTGTGCAGGGCATGAACCCACGAACTGGGAGATCACGACCTGAGCCGAAGTCAGATGCCTAACCGACTGAGCCACCCAGGCGCCCCTCTTTCTCCCAAATATTTAGGAAGCACTTACTGTATGCCTGCTAAGATGGACAACGTTCTTGCCCTTGTGGAGCTTAGAGTCTAGTGGGGAAGTTGGACCACACATAAATAGATACATCGTGACAAGCAGTAACTAGTGTTATGAAAAAGAAGAGGAGGAGAGAGAGTGAGTCCAGGGTAGGGGGGGGGAGCCACACTCCATTAGACAGATTGCTCAGAGACACGTCACCTCCCAGAGGTGAGCAGAAGCCTGAAAGAAAGGGGTCAGGGCATTCCAGGCGGAGAGGACCTCAAGATAAAGACCCTCTGATGGAGAGAGACTGGGCCCAATACGCAGTTCCAGTAAGATCCCTGGCTGACGTGTGGAGAACCGTGTGGAAGGCCCAAGACGGGTATGGAAGCAGAGACTGGTTAGAAGGCTAGCAGGGTCTCTCGATAGGTGCCGGTGGCCTGCTCTAGGGCGGCAGGGGCAAAACAGGTGAGAACAGGGTGGATATGGGAGATTTTCTGAGGGCCACATACACAACAATCCTCAGGGTCCGGGATATACTTCTTTATATCGAGCTAACGTCGTTCTTCTCTCTTAGTCTTATGAAGGAATAAAGGAATCAGACAAATCTGGAAACCGGGAAATTTTCTCACTTTAAATCATATTTTAGTTATATTTTCAAGTAAAATGAGCAGTACGTTTTCCTTTCCTATCTAGACACGTCTCCCAGTGAACTAGCCCTACATTTAAAGCCACTGATTCATTCATCCGAGAAATGTCTAAAAAGACATTTTCCCTGTATTTCCAGACTTTAGACGCCCTGTATGAACAAATGTGCCTTGGTCTTCCACTCCCTGCTAATTATCTGACCGTTTCCTCAGTGTCCTACAGCTCCCTAGGGTTAGCTGCTGCCCCAGCCCCGCTCCTGGGCCTCTGAAGGCTCGCCCTGTGTGCGACGCTCTTGTAGGAGCAGGGACTCTCTCGTATCTGTGCTTCTTTAAAGGGACCCAGACTGTCCCTGACAACTGGCCCAAGTCTGTTCGTCCTTCTGGCCTCAGCTAATGGGTTGCGAATTAGGGAGATCCTCTCTGCCCCCTGGGCCAGGCTGGCACCCTGGATTCACACACCCCACTACTAACAGAGTGGGCAGTCGGTATGTGTTACCTACAGAGAAAGTTCTGACCGTCACAGCTAGATGTTTAATCGCCCTGCAGAAGAATGTGCCGTGGCCTCTCTATTGTAGTGACAGACAGGGACAAAGCCTTGAGTCCTTACTTCCTCTGTCGGTGAGACCGTTTCACGGGACACAGCTCATGGAACAACTTCTGGCTGGTGAGCCTGGCTGCTAGTAGATACTTGTTTTGGGTGATGAAGTCGTCAACGACCTGCTTCTTCATACCTCGGGCCTGCGGAAAAACCAACAAACAGTTGATTTTTAGTCCCTCTGCTCACTGCCAATGGGCCGTACGTAGAAGCTGAAAAAAAATGTGGCTGACCCGTGAAGTTGTAGTTTCACGTTGTATGGTGACAGCAGATGGCAGCCACACTTGTCGTGAGCACAGCACACAGGGAAGTGGGGTCACTAGCTTGTACACCTGAAACTAATGTCACGTTGTATGGAAACCGTACTCAAGAAAAAAAATATATAAAAAAAAAGAACTGGAAGAGAAATGTGGTGGACCCTGGCTAAAGTGATATAATAAATAAGACGGGTCCTGTCCGAAGAAATAAACACGTGGAAATCTATTTGACAGTGTGGGGCCGGACGCAATGACACAACTACTTCAGGTCAAAGGAAAATCAAGTGCTCTTTCCACTGCGGAGTTTTTGTATACTTTTTTTTTTTTAATGTTTATTTATTTATTTGTTTTGAGAAAGAAAGAGAGAGCGAGAGAGCGAGCGAGCATGCACAAGTGGGGAAGGGGCAGCGAGAGAGAGAATCTCAAGCAGGATCCATGCTGTCAGCATAGAGCCTGATGTGGGGATTGACCTCGCGAACCGTGAGATCATGACCCGAGCTGAAATCAAGAGTTGGAGGCTCAACCAACTGAGTCATCCAGGTGCCCCTGTATAAGGTTTTATGCTGGCAGATTTAAAGTCACTTTGTTTTGTTTTGTTTTTATAGATTTTATTTTTAAGTAGGCTCCACACCCAACATGGGGCTCGAACTCATGACCCCGAGGTCAAGAATTACATGTTCTATGAAATAAACCAGCCAGGCGTCCCTTAAGAGTTATTTTGAATTCCAGGCAAATTTACTTCCATTTAAGCTTGGCAGTAAACTGCACAATTAAAAATAAACTCCAAAGTACCAAGGTTACTAAGTATAAAAGGCAGACTACAAAACCGTATGATGGCCACTTTGTTTTTACTAATTTTTGTGCATTTCAAAGAGCTGAAATTAGACAGACAGCAGACTGTCTGACCACAATCTAGAAATCCATATAAAATGTCAACTAGAAAATCTTATATTTTAAGAAACACACTTTGAATCACCTACTGAACTAAGAAGAGCTTATCAGATATTTAAAAAATTCTCTGAATTTGAATGACTCATGAAAACACTATTTATACACGCTGGGGTATAGCTAAAGCAGCACTTGGAGGGTAATGTTAAAAAATGTATAAAACAGAAAAGAAATTAATGACCTAGAGGCCTATATCCAGAAGTTAACAAGAAACAACAAAAAATATGAAAGGAGAAAGAAGGAAATGATAAAAATAGAGATCCATGACTCACAACAAACATAGGAAAAGAAGAAGAAACAAAGAAGCAAAAAAGCTAAAGTTGGCTCTCTGGGAGAGCTAATAATCAAATGGACAAACCTCTGGTAAAACCCATCGTGAAGACAAGACAGAAAGCACAAATGACCATTATCAAGGATGACAAGGAGGTATCACCACCTGTGTTGCAAAAGTTAAAGTTATTTGAGGACTTAGATGAAAGAGAAAAATTTCTAGAAAAATACAGCAGTATCTGAAAAAAACAGAAAACTTAAAGAGTTGTATAACCATTAAAGGAGGTGAATTGGTGGTAGTCAAAGATCTTTCCTTAAACACAAACTCAAAGCCCAGATGGTGTTACAGATGGTTTCCATGAAACTTTCAAGAGGACAATCCAATCTTACATAAAGTCTCCCCAAGAATAGAAAAAGGGAGAACGCACCCACCTCACTTCCTGATGCAAAGCCTCACATGGGCCTCAAGAGAAAGAAAAGTCAGAAGTCAACCTCGTTTCTGAACACAAATGCAAAAATCCTAAACAAGAGTTTAGCAAACTGAATCCAGCAGTATACCCAAAGCATAATATAAGTCATGATCCTGCTGGACTTATCTGATCAGCTCAAATTAGGCTTAACATTAGAAAATGAATTAATCGGGGCGCCTGGGTGGCTCAGTCGGTTAAGCGGCTGACTTCGGCTCAGGTCATGATCTCGCGGTCCGTGAGTTCGAGCCCCGTGTCGGGCTCTGTGCTGGCAGCTCAGAGCCTGGAGCCTGTTTCAGATTCTGTGTCTCCCTCTCTCTGACCCTCCCCCGTTCATGCTCTGTCTCTCTCTGTCTCAAAAATAAATAAAAATGTTAAAAAAATAAATAAAAGAAAATGAATTAATCTAGTTGGCACATTTTAGATGCTTAAAGATTAAACACAAAAAACCAAAATAATCTCAATGGATGTGGAAAAAACATCTGATAAAAACCAATACCACTCAGGTCAACAATAAATAGAAGGGAACCTCCTTAATCTGAAGAGGGTAGCTACAAAATGCCTTCTGCAAATGCCACACTTTATTGGGGAAATGGAGATCAGGAACAAGGATGCCCCCCCAAACCCCCCATCACTACATTTCTAGTCTGCGTCACACCAGAGGTCAGCAGTAAAGTAAGAAAAAGAAATAAAATAGGGGCGCCTGGGTGGCTCAGTCGGTTGAGCGACTGACTTCAGCTCAGGTCACGATCTCGCGGTCCGTGAGTTCGAGCCCCGTGTCGGGCTCTGTGCTGACAGCTCAGAGCCTGGAGCCTGCTTCGGATTCTGTGTCTCCCTCTGTCTCTGCCCCTCCCCCGCTCATGCTCTGTCTGTCTCTGTCTCAGAAATAAACAAACATAAAAAAAAAATTAGAAAATAAAATAAAATAAAATAAAATAAAATAAAATAAAATAAGGGCTGGAAGAAAATGAAGCAAAACTGCCATTAATCTCAGATGATATGACTGCAATTCAGCAAACCCAAAAGGTGGTACAGATAAATTATTTAAATCAGTAGGAGAGTTTTAGCAAGACTGCTGGACACAGAGTCAGTGTTTAATAATGAATGGTATTGGGGTATTGAGCCCCGAGTCGGGCTCTGTGCTGACAGCGTGGAGCCTGCTTGGGATTCTCCCTCTCCCCCTCTCTCTCTGCCCCTCCCCTGTTCACACGCAATCTTTCAAAATAAATAAATAAATGTTAAAAAAATTAACTGTATCACCTAATACCAGCAAACAAAAAATGTAATAACAAAGATACCCTTTCCAACGGCATAAAAAATATGAGGTACCTAGAAGTAAGCTGGAAAAAAAGCAAGATCTTTACAGAGAAAATTATAAAAGCTTACAGAGGGCCACGTGGCTGACTCAGTTGATGGAGGGTGCAACTCTTGATCTCGGTGTTATAAGTTTGAGCCCCATGTTAGGTGTAGAGATTACTTACAAATAAAATCCTTTAAAAAAAAAAAAAGCTTATGGAGACATATTACTGAGCACCTAAACAAATGGCAACAGATCTATGATGCTCATAGGTAGAAAGGTTCAATTTTGTCAAGAGGCATGTTCTCCTCAAACTTTTATAAAATAATTTTTTTTCAGAGTTTTATTTGTTTATTTTGAGAGAAAGAGAGAGTGCATGTGTGTGAGCAGGGGAGGGGCAGAGGGGGAGAGAATCCCAAGCAGGCTCTGCGCTGTCAGCACACAGCCCCACCCAGGACTCGACCTCACAAACCGCGAGGTCATGGCCTGAGCCAAAATTGAGAGTCAGACGCTCAACCGACAGAGCCGCCCAGGCGCCCCTCTCCCCAAACTGATTTAAAGAATCAATACCTAATCAATAAGATCCCAACAAGTTTTCTGTTTGTTTGTTTTGATGGAACTTGACAGACAGAACGTAATGCGTATACAAAATGTGCAAGACACCAAGAACGGCCAAGGTGCTTTTGAAGCCACTTCCCCACCCTGCTAAAATCCAAAAAATAAAGTGGGAGGATTTGCTCTGTGAGATATCATGACTCTTTCTAGATGGCTTCTACCGGAGTACAAAACACAAACTATAAAGCTTTTAGAAGCTCCACGGAAGGATTATCCTTACTACCTTGCTGTAGGGAAAGACGTCCTGAATAGTAAACAGAACCAATCATAAAGGAAATTGTTGATACAAGCGACCACATTAAAAATAAGAACGTGTGTTCATCAACATGATACCAAACACAAGAATATATGCAGAGCATCACTGGTCACATAACTAAACAGTGGAAGGATCTAAACGTCTGTCAGCAGCAGACTGGATACGCTGTAGTATATTCACGCCAAGCTCCACAGACAACACGTACAAACCTCACAAACATAAGCTGGCAAGAGCCAGACGCGCCAGGAATTCACACTCCATGAGTCTAGCTGGATAAGTGACTGGCTACAAACCATCAGCGAAAAGGGAGACAATTCAATAGAAAAAATGGGTGGAACACTTGGTGGGCATGCCACCAAAGGGGAAGGAAATCCAAAAGGCCCATAATCAGCTTCCTTGTGATTAAAGGAAACGCAAAGCAGAAGTACAAGGAGATGCAGCTACAGACTCAGTCAACTCGGAAACGTGAACTTGAACTGGTGTTGGCAAGGACGTGCAGCACTGGAACTTTCGCCCGTGACTGGTGGAGATGGAAACTGGTAACATCACTTCGGAAAACACACCACCTAGAAACGCTAGAGATGTGCACAGCCCAGGGCCCAGCAATGTTGCAACCAGATACACCCTAGAGGCAATGGGTCTCAAAACTTTGTGGTCTCAGAACACCTTTACGCTTTTTTTTTTTTAAAGATTTTATTTTTTATGATGAACACTGGGTATTCCATATCACTACATTCTACTCCTGAACCAATATTATACCATATGTCAACTAACTAGAACTTAATAAGTATTTGAAAAAACGAAAAAAAAAAAAAAAGATCTTATTTTTTAGGTAATCTTTATATCCAAGATGGGGCTCGAACCCATAACCCTGAGATCAAGAGTCACATGCTCTACTGACTGAGCCAGCCAGGTGCCCCACCTTTACACTCTTAAGATTACTGAGGACCCCAAAGAACTTTTGTTTAATGTGGTTTTTACCTATTAATATTTATTACATATAAATTAGACAAATTTTATCTTTTTTTATTTT